AACCTAGAATATGGACATGGCAAAACCTTGTACATGGCATGAAAATCCAATTAAATATAATGGTTAGTTCACAAACTTCATCAGGAACATGAATATATAATTAAAATGCCATGATCATGCTTTAAAACCAAAATACGATTAGGAATTTTTTGGATGCAGTTCACACTCAATATACCGATTCTTCGTGTTTGAATTGATGCTAATGAGTGGCACGTGTTCAGAATCACCCAAGGAAGCTATTGGAATGGAAGTTGAAGCTTGAATCTACCTCTAAGCTAGTTTTCAGATTTCAGTTTTTATGAGAAATTTTCAATATGCAAAAGGGTTCTTGGGCGCAGCTTTTTGTCTCCTTGGCATTAGGTCTTGTTCTGAATCATATAGTGAGGCTTCTAGGTCAACAAAAACCAACAAAATCTCATCAATTCATTATTTGAAGATTTGATTTGCTTAATATCTTTTCCAATCTTTTTTCATGTTGTTTTTGTTCAATCATGATCCAAATCTCATCCAAATTTGCCTAATTGGGATATGCACGAAATATTATGAATAAACATGCATGAAAAGATTTTTTTAGGTTAAGTTTGATATTTTTCATATATTAAAATCATTTAAATGAATATAAATTAATATTAATTCAAATAAATAATTAAAAAATATGAGAATACTTCCCTTTGGGCCTAGTGGTCGTGCATAGGCTTGGCATGAAGAAATTTGGAAGAAAAATGGGCCCATTTGCATTTTTAGCCCTTTTGCATCAATGTTGACTTTTCAAAATTCCTAAAAATTTCCCAACTTCCACAAGGCATAACTTGGTCAATTTTTAAGCTTTTCACATGTTCTTGGACATTTTGGAAAGGTCTTTGAGTCCTTTAACCAATGCCGTTGGTCCCATGTCATTTTGATTTACCAATCTCAAGTTAAGGCCTTTGACTTAAAGTCACTTTTTGTTGACTTTTGAAAATGACCTATAATGTTGAAATTGATAACTTTTTGTGAGAGCATTTCTTGGACTTGGAATATGAAGATGAGTTGTAGGAAATGTCTTTCTCTTCAAAATGAGCTTTGGATGGAATTTTTCTGATAATCCATGTGAAAGTTATGCCCTGGTCAATTTCAGTTGACTTTTTCAGCTGTCCAAATATAGCAACTTTTGCATCTTGATGATTTTCTGAGCCAAATTTTGAGAATCATGATCAAGCATTGATCAAATGATGTTTGTGGCTTCAAAATGATATATTGACCAAAAATTTGAACTTTTGACTGTCAAATGACCATTTTGCCCCTACAGTTGACTGTAGTGCAATCTAGGGTTTTGACTGTGCAATTTTGAGCTGAATGCTTTGAAACTTGACATGAGGACACTTGACCATCTTTATAGGCATATGAGACTTGATTGGGCCTTTGAAAAGTTCATTTGCTTGACCAGAACTCAAATCCTAGTTTTGACTGTCTAGGAGACAGTTGAGCTGCACAACCCTTGGGGAATTTTGTGACCTTGACTTGACAAATCTTTGATGAATATGGGAGGGCAAATTTTGGGGTACAACAGTCCTCCAAACGTAGATGTAGTTTCACCGAATTAGGTTACTAATCTCTTGTGTTAATTTATTACTTTCTGCATTGTGTTATTGTTGATGTTATTTTGTTGTCTTACTAGTTTAAGAAGTTGAGTCAGTTGTTCCAACGCCGTGTCCAACATTTTTCCACTCAGGAATATAACTTCAATTGGCATCAGAGCAGACACCCTGTTCTATTTGGATGAGCTCCAAGGAAAATATTTTATGTTCAAATGGACAACACTAAGGATGTAGGTTCATTCAATAGGCCACATGTGTTGGATGACACAAATTATGATTATTGGAAAGCTAAGATGCTTACTTTTCTAAAATCGATAGACAACAAAACTTAGAAGGTTGTGGTTAAAGGTTGAAAACATCCTGTGATCACTTCCCAAGATGGTTCAGCAAGCTTAAAGCCTAAAGTTGATTGGTCCAACACTAAAGATGAGGAAACTCTTGGAAACGACAAAAAATTGAATGCCATATTCAATGGTATGGATAAGAACATATTCAAACTAATCAACACTTGTACTGAAGTCAAAGAAGCTTGGGAGACTCTCAAAAATCTTCATGAAGGCACATCCAAGATTAGGATATCAAGGTTGCAGCTCTTCATGGCTGAGTTTGAAAAGTCGAGAATGATGGAAGATGAATCCATATTTGATTTTAACATTAGACTGCGCGATAAAGCTAACAATTCTTTTGCTTTGGGAGAAAAGATGTCAGAAGAAAAGCTGGTTAGAAAGATTCTCATATCTTTGCCTCAGAAATTTGACAAGGTAATAGTCTTTGAAGAAGTCCAAGACTTAAGCACTTTGAAGGTTGATGAAGTTATTAGATCACTTCAAACCTTTGAAGTTTCTATAAATGGTATATCAGAAAAGAAGAACAAAAATATTACTTTTGTATTTAACACTAATAAAGATGAAGATCAAGGTGAGAAGGAGACTGGAGAAATATTTTCTGATGTTATAGCTCTTGCCGATAGAAAGTTCAACAGTGTCTTGAAGAAGCTGGACAGAAAATGGAGGACAATGTTTAAGATATCTGGTTCGACGTTGGTTCCCAAAACAAGGTCAAAGAAAGACAAAGGCATGGGAGTTGGATGTTTTAAATGTGAAGGTTTTGGACACATCAAGACTGAATGTCCTACTTTCCTCGAGAAGCAGAAAAAAGATTATATATTACTTGGTCAGAGTCTAATTATGAAAGTGGTACGCCTACTTCACTAATAGCTTTCACTAGAAAATTTGAATCTAAAAGTGTGTCATGTGATGAAGACATGACTAATGAAGAGCTAGTTGCTGCATACAAGCTCTTATACACCAAGTGGGAAGAATCTAACAATGTTGTAGACTTTATTTTTCGGATATATATCTCCAAATAAATCATATTTTTTACAAAAAAATATATTTTTGATATGCATATCCGAAAAGTTTACTGTTATGTTTTTTAAAACATAGTATTGGATGTATCTAGATAGACACACCTAGTAGCCATGCATCTACGATCCAACAAATATGTAAATACCAACATTTTCCTTATTGAAGAAAACAATTGAAAATTAGAAAAATGATTAAAATAAAATTTGAAAAAAAATATGAAAATACAACTAAAAATCAAATTAAATTAAATTAAGTGTCTATAAATTTTTTCTGCATTTTTGCGAGAATATGAAAAAAGAAAATAAATAAAATAAAATAGAAAATAAGGAATTTAGAGTTTTTAGGATGGTGTTTCATATTTTGTTTCAGAATCGATTTTTTTTTAAATAAGGATATTTTTTTGGAAACAAGGAATTTTGTTTCAAAAATAAAGAATTTTGTTTCAAATAAAATAGAAAATATGATCCGTGATTTTTTTTTGATGAATTGACACGATAAAATTTTGATTCAAAGTTGATTTTTCAGAAAATTAGATTTTTTATGTTAGATCACGTAAATGCCAGAAACATAGGAACGCAAGGGCCAGAACGCGATGATACTTTTGAAGATGTATCTCCGAATAAACTCAAGAGTATTTTTGGATTTTCAGAAATGCATTCTTATACAATTGTATAAGGGCATAAAGAAAAATTGCCTAATAAAAAAGTGTTTGTCATGCAATATGTCTCGACCCTTCGCTCCAAATTCCAATGCTACAAAATTGGTAGGGCCGAGAATTAACTTGTTAATATTTTCTAGAGGAATTAACATGTCACTTCCATTTTATACATGTCACCCCGTCTTGACACTTTTACGAAACTGTCTGTGATATACCATATTTTTTGAAATTTTACAAACATACCGGAAACTTCGTTGATTTTCCAAATTTTTACCGTGTTATATGAACTTAACCGGAAATTTAAAATAATCTGGTACCAGAAATTTCAAATTTCCAATGTATTTCATCCTTATAAGAAATCGAAAATTTGAAATTTTTGGTGTGTGGAAAAAAACAGAAATTTCAAGTATAAAGCTCGGAAATTTCAAATTTTCGGTAGCTCGAAAATTTTAAATTTCTGGTTAACATTTTCTACGGGAAATTTGCGTAATTTTTGAACGTGTGCTAGCTTTTGAAAATTGACACGGAAATTTTGAAATTTCTGATGAATCACAATCACAAATTTTGAAATTTTCGATTAATCGTTATCGGAAATTTATAGAATATAAAGAATTTTCAATAAACTACCAAAATTAGCATTGAAATTTTGCTTAGCTTACTAGAAATTTCGTTTTTTGACTCCTTTGATGACCAATGATAAATTATTTTTTTGACAAAAATAAAAAATTTAGAGTAAATAATAAAAGAGGTATTTTAAAAATAATGAAATTTAGAGGATGTCATGTATAAAAATAGGAGTGACAAATTAATTTCTCATTTTCCTAGATGACTAGCAATTATGCAATCCTCAAAATAGTCTGAAGTGTTCTTTGGCATTCATTTTCTATTTTATGCTCTCCTTATTTTGAGTAGGATGTGTCAATTTGAACTTACATAATGTTGTCCAAAAAAAAAACTTACTTAATGTTGACCAAAATAATAAATAAGAGAAATAGATAAAATATTTTTGAAAAAGACTGATTATGAAACATAAATCATTCATTGAATTAGCTTTTGAGATGAGATATAAACTACTATTTTTTACTTTTTTTTTTTTTTAACTAATTGATATTATACTCGTAGCTTATCAATTTGTCTCAAATTTCCCTTTCTTTAAAACTTCAGAGGATAGTAAAAAAAAATAATGAAGTTGTGCATCATCAAAACAATATAGCAAATGAGTGAAACTCTTCCATCTCTCAAATATTGGTTTTAGTTTCAACTTAATGAGAGGATATGGTTCTACCTCACCAGAATCTCAATATTTGAGAAAAACAAAAAAGAGAAAAACATAAGTCAAAACTTGAAATTCAAGGTCTGTCCTATGGAAGGAAATGAAAATGACATGGTACACTATTCTTACAACTTGAGTTTAGTAATGTCGATCTTCTTACGAGGATACGTGTATGCTTCATAGTTAATATTTTGGCCCAAGGTACTCAATTTTGTGAAAGTTGTTATAAGATCAACCTGAAAAAGATACGAACCAAAAGTCTCGGTAACTGTTTTTCTTTGTTTGGATTGAGATAGATACATAGATAAACAAAGTTACCTCATAATCGGTTCGCGAGACAGTTTCACGGCTCCGTTGGTATTTTGTTACCCATGGAGCAACGTCTGGATCAGATGCTAATAAGGCTTCTGTTGCATCCTGGTCCGGACCTATGAATGCAGATAAAACAGCAAGCTGGCCAAATAGAGAAAGAAAATAATTAGTAAGATGCAATGATGTCAATTAGAGCCGTCTCAAGTTTTTGAAGTGTGAGTTAGCCATGGTTTTATAAGGCCTTATTTAGGCACGACTTAACTGTGATAAATTTCGGACCCTGAAACAAAAGTAGTTATAAAATATGGAAAGTACCTGGCGAGGACCAAGGCCTACAGCAGAAAACTTATCTTTCATTTCCTGAACACTTGCTTTCTCCCAAATTGGAATTCTCCCCTCTGGATCCGGCTCTTGAGTATCAGCCCTACCAAATTGTCGGTCGAACAAACCCCACTGATCCATAAAGAAAATTGAACCCGTTGCATGCTCTGGTTAGTGGAAGCTCAAGTAGTAAAACATTATGGAGTAAGAAAACAAGTTCAAAACAAAACCTGTCCGTTTGATCCATATGCTGTGTACAACAAGTTCCCTTTTTCCACATTTCCACCGCATTTGCGAATCGCAGAAGCTAAAAATGTAGCCTTTGTTGCACTTTGTGCTGCAAAATTGAAATCAATAAAATCAGGGAAACTTGAATATATGTCCAAAACTTCTAGCCAATTCTTAATCACAAATTGTTTAACAAAAAAATTGTCAGAATCAACAGACATTTAGAAAATGTCTAACCTGCATACTGGATTAGATCTGCATAGGAAATCGGTCCACCTTTCGAATATGAATCTATTTCTTTTTTTGCTTCCTCTATGAAATTCAAGGCTGCAGAAAACCCCTTATTCTCAGGTCTACTTATTTCTGAGCTTCACACAGAATTATGAAACAAAAAAACAGAGAAAAAAATTATGATTATTAGTAAGCAAAAATAATGCATACAGGCAAAGGATGACGGAATATTTCGTTTATGAAGAATTTGCAAGAAAAACCAGAAACTTAAGATATACTAACAAGTACAGCTTCAAAAGAAGATAGAAGTACCTGAACCGTATAGAGCCATTTGGGCCACCTGTTTTCGTTGCCTACAAACTTAAGATGATTCCAATCAATATTCATTGCAAATGATGAAGATAGATATTGTTCATGCCAGTGTTGTCAATCATGTATCGCAGAAAATGGTGTTTTGTTCAAATTCAAATTTTGCTACACTACAGCGCTATATCATTTCTATAGCCACTATTGGACAAAACTTTGTACTAATTCGTGTATCGCAAAACATTAGTACTTTGTTAAAATTCTGCTATACTATAGAGCTATAGCACCACTACTACTTCTATTTGACAACACTGGTTCATGCATGCATGTGTGTGTGCGGGCGTCTGTGTCTCACCTTATCATAAGTTAAAGCATCATTTATCGCCAGTGTTAGTATGGATGGAACAATATCGGGATTTCCCTGAAGAGATATCAAATGTAAAATCAGATTATATCCAAATAAGGAGTTTGATAAATGTTTAATCAGCAACCATATTACTTTTACCATTGTTAAGTAAATGTGAGTTAGCGATAACATACCTTAATGGCCTTATAAAGAGTTCCTTTAATTTCAGCTGTAAGAACATAAAGTTAGAACTCTGCTAAAAGGAAAGAACGGTCGAGTTGACAAGATTAGCAGTTACATAGAATTGTAAACCTGAAGATTCTTACATTGAAACTCCGAACGCTGTCTGCGTTCAATCAGGTCAGCAGCATTAGCCGTTCCAACAAGCAATCCAGAGTTTGTTATCGATTCCTACAAACAGATACAACTGATCGAAACTCATCATCAAATCAATCTTATCCACTAAATACATATCTAAAAATGATAGCATTATCTGATAAGATAACTCAGTTGGTAGTTGTGCAGAGACGTCAGACTGCAGGGGTTCAGCTTCGAACCCGCGACAGAGTTAAACTACTTTACAGGAATTGATTTGTTACCAACCAATTGAAAGAAAGGGTCTTACCAAACCAATAGTGACCCCGAAGCATTTAAGAATGTCTCTTCGTTTCCAAAGGAACTGTTGTTCTTCATCAGTAACATCTGTTTGGATTTTAGAACAACAAATGGAAACCTAACAATATACATTTGAACAATATTATATAGTTGTTTTAGGACATTGTAACGCATGCAACAAAGAGAACTGAATCAAACACTTACCGAACGAGGTTGGTGTGTGGTTGTAGTTGTTTTAGGATAATGAGAACGAAGTAGTGGATGGAGAGAAGGAAGAGTTGAGGTTGAGAGGAAAGAGACACCCATTGTTGTTGCAACTACAACCAAATTGTTTGAGGTGTGTGTTTGGAAGTGGAGAAGGGGAACAAAGGTGATGCAATAGTGTAAGATCTTTTGTGGTTTGTTTGAGGTCATTTTAAGATTAGATAATATATATTATCCACTTCCATCCATTGCTATTGGATTCTCTTATTTCTACCCCAATTCTTCTAAATAATATCATTTTTCAATTAATTAAAATTTGGTCATTTTTCAATCCACCATATTCATTTTTCAAGAGCCTATTTTCTTTCTGTTCCTGGATGACCTTATATTTGTTTTGATCTAAATAATCTATAATTAAATGCAAAAGACTGTAATTTATTTTTAATCATCAAACAATTTATAATTTTGTATTTGAATTTACAATGTATTTGAAAACTATAAGGCTTCCTTTAGCTATTGCTTCATGACATCATTGGCACACTCATTAGCTTGATGTATATACAATGATATGCCAAACGGTATGAACATGTCTCAATCTAGCAAGTTTTGAAAAATTCACAATTCTTTGTATGAGCTAAAGCAAGCAAGCAGACAATGGTTTACTAAATTGTCCAGCTTTTTAACCAGCATTGGTTTTACACAATCACCTTTAGATCATTCACTATTTACAAAATCATATTGTTCAAGTTTCACAACTTTATTAGTTTATGTTGATGACCTAATATACTGACTGGAAAATATTTACTTGCATTTCAAGATTTGCAGTTCTAATTAAATTCAACTTTCCATATCAAAGACCTTTTAGGATTCAAACTTGTTAAAATAAATTACTTCCCACTTTATCAAGAAAGTTAAAATACTGAAATCACTTAAGTAAAATAAATATTCGAGAATTTACATTAAGAGGAAACTACTTAGGATTTCTCAGTAAGTGGCTACATCCAAAAACCTTTACCTCTATAAACAAGTCAATTCATAGAATAAATGAATGAATCCAGTCATCTCAAAGCACCGCCATCCTCCATGAGGTTCTCATCATATAACACAATTATATTGTGTATACCAATAACTGAATATGGATTTTCTTTTCCTTTTATTTTTTCCAAAATTAATCGCGTCCTGCAGAATCGATACCGATATATACACTCATCGACTGCACTCCCAGCTGCACGCATAAGCCTCTAAATTTTTTTTGATAAATTACACAAGTGCTACCCCCCTTTTGTAATAACTGATTTTTCCAAGGAAAAAGTTCTGTAATATCTGATTTACTTGACAATGTGAGAGGTGTTTTGTGGCGATGATTCTGGCCGGCATAGGCAATCAGGTAAAGGATTAGCATAAAAGGTTTCTTCCGAGCGAAACCTGTCCATTCCCTTTGTTCCCGATATTGGCCCTTTTCTCTTTCTCGGGAAACCAAGCCTGCAACACATCGTAACGATTTTAAAATCACAAGCAGAAGTTCAATATGAGACCGTCGAATAAGAAAAAAGAAAGGAACAATAAAGGCTTTCCCAACTGCACACCGTCTTCTGTGGAGATCTATAATCCTATACGACAGTTTTTTTCCCTCGGTCATTGTTCCTTGGTCCAGTTTATCGAAGAGTCGAACAAGGGCTTTCCTAATTAAACCATGAAAGAACAAACAGAAAGCTTTAAAAAGGATGAAATGGAAAAAGGTTATTAACCAAATATGAAAGATAAATGCTTTACCTATCTGGAGATATTGATCTTCCACGGCCAAGAAATCGGCGATGACCTTCAACAGCCCTTGCCATGTTACCAGAATAAGAGGGTATAAATACATCACTTTCAATAGATACAATATAGTCAAGAGCAGCCATTTGAGAAGCATGATTGAAAAAGGGTTCAAGCTCCTCAAAAGATGCCAACTTTTCCTGAAATTAATCACAGGAAGGCTAATCAACATCATATTTGGTTAGTCAGATTTCAGAAGGAAGCTATTACCCAGAAAAACCGATATATAGAATGTAACAAGTTGATGATGATGAGATACATAAATGTTGAATAAAAAAGCACCAGAAAGCAACACGAGTACTGCAATTCCTTACCTTGCTCATTAACAATGGATAACGGGATCGCAGTTCAGCCATATGAGACTCACCCCCATATATCTCTCCAGCAGCAATATATATCGGAGTCTTTGATGGATATCCAAGAGCTGTAAGAAAAATTCCAACTTCCTTTGGAGTTAAGGGGCAAAACCCTTTGGATCTCTGTTCAATGGGGTCTATATCCTTTACTTTCCAATACGAAGTGTTCTCCCTACAAGTTTCGCATACTAATTTCAAAAACGACATGATATTCAATTTTTACTTCTCAACATTCCACAGTTCCATACCTGATAATCCGTAGCTCTTCAGCTTCATCTAGAGATAAATCATGCGTGCAGCCGCTAAACGCAAGCATATCCTTCTCATAACGTAAATGCAAGGCAATATAAGGACCCAACGACCTCATTTTCTCAACTAACAACTACAAGGACCCGAGAAAAAGTATTAAAGAATGAAAAATAAAAAAAGTTAGATAGAGAACAAAGAAATCAATCAGTTGACATAGCCTCGTATACTTTTCCTATTTGTTCAATGCGAGGAGAGAAACGAAGAGCCTCATAACAAGCTCGGCAGCGAAGCTTCTGAATGTCTGGAGGTAGATTGTTGTTCGCTAGCCGTGAATCAGATTTGGAAGCACGAATAACCTTAAGAAGTTATCAAAATCCGATGATTGCATAATATGTTAAAAAATTAGGCAAATAATGGAATGATATCATAGAACAGCATAATAACCTATGAGACACGGACACTGGAAACACGACACTGACACTGACACGTCCATACTGGTAATAATTTGAAAAAATGAATAAACTAAACGTAATCATAAGTGTCGGTGTTGGTTTCAGACACTGACACACCTTTTTTCAGAGGTGTCTGTAGCGAAATAATAAGTATAGATTTTCCGCATACATACTTGGTAATCTTCCCACAACTTTGCAATCTCATTCTCATAATAATCCATGCCAGACCAGCTTATGAATTGCTTGACCTTTCTCGTTTCATTAACCAGATCATCGGGAAGCTTCTTAATTATTTTGACATCGTTGGCTAGAGAATTAATAAAATGATCTTCATCAAAAATATCAGAGAAATTGCTGAAAGAAAAACCATAACACCCGAATTAAAAAAGCCAACAATATCTATAGTTAATCAAGTGAAGTCCAACATAGAGAGAAACTATAACAGAGAAATAATAGCTAACAAAGAAATTACATTGTTCACCTTGTATCTTGCCAAAATGATCTTTTATCGAGTTCCGGAATTACAAGCGTAGCATTTAGGATACGAGCTACAGCTACCATATCACATATCTGAAGCAAAGGGAAAAAGTTGAGCATGGAATGAGTTTGCATTTATACTAATAATATGCATACGAGAGTAACACAGAGAAAGGAGAAAGATCGGACCCCAGAACGCATTTGGTTGAGCCCACCATTTGTATGAACTAAAAGATATCCTCGTGACTCAACGGGAGCTGAATGAACACGTATAAATCTGAGTAAGTACCAAACTAATTTATACTTGTAACTTGCTATAAAAGTCTAAGTTTCTTACTAGTGTAATTAGGAGTAGGCTCTGCACAGGGAAGAAACCCACGATTCGATGGAGGCTTCCATAGCTTCTCGTAATCTGAATCCCGTCTGGAACCATTCAACTGTCAAACAAAAATAAGTGAAAATGATAAAGGTGCATAATTTGTTTACAAATTTAAATATATCTACCTACATACATGAATCCGCCACCATCTCAGCATATGTACTACAAACAAATCAAACAAGTTTAAAGTCACATAATACATTAAATCCGTAAACACTATAAATGAGCTGAAACAACTTTACAGCGTGGTTGATGAGAATAGGAGAGGAAACAACTAATGAATTAGAATACACGTTTTAGTTAAGTTGATATTCTAATAATCATAAGGGTCTACTTGAATTGGCTTACTTGAGCTTATCTACTGGCATAAATACTTGTGAGCTTGCTTGAGAGAACTTAGGGAAACTGCTTATGACATCTCCATAAGTTGTTTTCAGCTAAACCCCACAAGTTATCTTAAATTAATTAATAAAACTGCTTATAGCTTATATGAAAACAGTTTGACCTTATTTTATCTTTTGTTATAGAAATAGCTTATCATAAGCACTTATAAGATAAACGCTTCCTTTAAGCATTAAATTAAGTTGTATAACAAGGCTGAATTTAATAACCACTTTCTTTGGTTGATAAAAAGATACTTTTCTTAGATGAAGGGTGTTATGTTTCTTTAGCATTTTCTCAGCATTTAAAACGGATAATATAATGAAATAAGTTACTTTCCAATGTTGACATGAAGAACCAAACCTTGGGAGTTTGAAGTGCTGCTTTGGATAAATGGGGTGGAGCTAACTCCCGCGTCCAGCTTTGCAAGTCCCGAGTCTGTCAAAATCCGAGACACAATTACCAACAACAACTACAAAAGTAATTATAGATGTGTAGAATCGATTTTGCAATGATTTTGAGGTGTTTGGATCTTCTAAAGTTGAATTGATTTTGCCTTCAAAATTGATTCTACTTGAAGCTAGAATTTGTAGTTTTTGAGTTTTAAACGTGATTTTCACATTGAAATTTACCGTTCAACTCAATTTTGCATAAAGTTATTATCCAAACATAAATCACTTTACATTGAACTTACTTTTAACCAGTATCAATTTTCCATAATCAATTCACTCAAAATCAATTCTTTTTTACCGTATTACCAAACATACCCTAAATAGATTCCAATATACACATCAAGAAAAGACAACAGAGAACCATATACCAAACCTATCAAAGTGAATAAACTAAACACCCTTGTTTCCAAAACAGTGTGTACCCTTAATAGCAATCTCTTCGAGTCAACAAAGTGTAAAACAAGCAATAACCAATAACAAATGAAAAAACCCTAAACATAAATTTAACTGATACGTACAAATTTAACAAACTTCCTACAAAAAGAATAGAAAAA